AGATTAATATTCCAGTATTTATTTGTATAGATGACTAATTTCTGAAGAATTATAAATCATATGGCATAACATTTAAAAAGACATTAAATTAATATTCCAGAGAACTTTTATTACATATTTGCTTTCTGAAACAATTGAAGAAGTATGCAAATATAAGGAATGAATTTGGTATAAACACTTCCAGGCTGAAAAATATATAATTCTTTATTTAATATGCGTATCTTCAGAGTGGCTATAATGGTCTTTGGGTGATTCAAGGATTATTAATCTGAAAGTGTTAAAATCATTGGAAGGCATTTTTTTAAAAAAGTAGATGGAATTAACATTTATTTTAATATACATAGGTTAAAAACTTATTGAGAAATTACTCTTACAGTGATGTACCTATCTGTTCATCTATCCATAATTTAATGCACAGGGTTATATAGTGGAACAAAATAGGTTTGAAGTAGCCGAGTAATAATGAAATATCTGTTGCATTAATGTAATCTGTGGCTTGAGAATTGTAATTGACAAAATATACACTCACTCTGAAAATTTTTCTTCAACCTAGATATACATTGTAAAATCATCTGATTATCTATGGTTGATATGATTGATTTAATCTTTTTCATCTATTTCATTGCTGTATTTGAGAATATCTGTGGCCTTAAATTGTAATTGACACTTCACGTTTTGCATTTAAAAATGTTCATATATCAAAAATACTAGGAAGTATGAAGAGTCATAAAATGTTATTCATGTCATGCTGGAGAAGTTATTGTAATACTTATTTCATGATTGTTACTTTTTGGGGTCAATTTTATCTAAAACCAGTAAAAGTCTTACAAATATTGTTTCTTCCATTGCAAAACATCCCATACATATGAATATTTACTGAATTTGTGATTTGTTAAATTTAATTTAAAATAATTATCACAATTTTATCTACAGTGTTTTATTTAAACTTAAATTCTTGATTTATGTTTCATAATCATTGGCATGCATGATAAAAGATCATCAAAGGGAATATGGTCTGGAAAAGTAGAAATAAAATTTTCATTCTTAAGTATTTTGTCATGAAATTATCACAGAATGTTAATGCTGAAAATTAAAATAGATTCATGCACTTTAACTTCATTCTTTAGTTGGGATTACACATAACTGATTTTATGTATAGATAAATTAATTTCCCATAAAGCTTGGAGGAATTATATTTTTTGTTTCAACAATAACTAGACTGCAGCCTTTTATACTGCCTACCACTCAGGCATTACAAGGAAAGCTGGAAATTATTCTGTCTTGATAGATTACTGGAAGGAAGATCTTATTGAAATTGTCAATTACAAACACAAAAAGAATTTTTTTTTTTGTAGTCTATTATCTAAGTTCCTTAACCAAACCTGGTAAATGTTTCTGTTTATTTTCAAGATGCATTAACTATTTTAGCACTTTCATAGAATGCTGCTAGTAATATATCTAGGCTGCAGGATGTTTCATATATATTAAATCTGTGAAATAAAATGTACAGGTTCTCTTTAATAACTAAGTAGATATACAAATTATTTAGCACTTAACCTAACTTGGATTTATAAGTGCTGATTTTTTTTAATGTGGAATGTTCTTTTTCACTCCAGAAAATAATATTTTGTAATTATGAATGTTTAAATTCCTGCTAATACACTATGTTAATTTTATAAAATGGAAATCCTCAACTTTTTGGTAAACATGTTATGAGAACAAAGTGATGGATTTTTAGATCCAGAATTAATACAAACAATTTGTTTTTATAAATTCAACTCCTGATTTTATCAACTTTTTGTAACCAGTTATCAACAAGATCTTCCAATGGCTGGTTTATTAGATTGTTCATTTTTATAGGTGTTTATATATTCAATTTTTTGAAGAGATAAGGATGGAAATACACAGCTAACATATGTTTAGGTAATTTAATTAAAGGAATGTTTCAATATCAGATTTAATACAGTTTGAAAGCAAAAAATCCAATCCTCATATTTTAGTGAGTGAATAACATAATGAAAAAACTATCATAATAACTCAATTTTTAAAATCCACTTTTTTGTTTAGACATTCGAAAAATAATCAGAATATTGATATTTGGCAATATATAATTCTTCCTGCAAAGGGTACTGAAATCAGTACATATTTATGAAAACTAAAATTTTAATGGGGATGTTATTGAAGTTAAAAAATTTCACATAATGATTCTTAAAATCTTTAACTGTTTTTTGTTATTTTATTTTAGAGAAAGAATAAAACTAAATCAGAGGAGAACTAGTTTGAAATAAATACCATCAGAACTGCAGACTTTGTCCAGAAATTTATTTTTAATTATAATCTCAAACACTAATCAAAATTAGTTTGTTGCCAGTAGTACAAAGTGGACTTAGGACATAATGATATCTGGAATTACTATACTCATTTTTATTTTGAATGGATACTTCTAAATATTACATTCTCTTTGATATTGCTTTAACAAAATAAGTTATTTTGTAAAACTTATAATTATGGTTACTGAAAGATAAGTTCCATGTATTTTTAAGTTAGTGTGTTATACATTTAATTGTGTTATATATTAAGAATTTATAAAGAAACATTTTACTTTTGACTTCTAAAAATTTCACATTGGAGCATTATTTAGAATTAGCAAAAATCAGATAGAACCTTTGTATTGCCAGGGTAAGCAACATTCAAACTTTATTCCACTGAATATTTAACAGATATCTGTTAAATAAAGGGCACTTTAGAAGCCTAGTGGAAATCATGTAAGAGTGCATGTAAGAAAGAGACAGAGTACCTTTTAATTTGTCCTTTTTTATCTTAAAACTTAATTAATTTGCAAACAATGCTGTTTAACTGTTACTGGTAAACAAAATCATTTGTGATCTACCTTACAATTAATAGCCACACACAAGCAATTAAGGAAAATTAGCTTATATTATGGAGAAAATTATAGGTTTGGAAATTTTCCTTTAGCCAGGTGTGGTGGCACACTTCTGTAATCCCAATGGCTCAGGAGGCTGAGGCAGGAGGATTGGAAGTTCAAAATCAGCCTTAGTAAAAACAAGGTCAGTGAGACTCTGTGTCTAATAAAATATAGGGCTAGGGATGTGGCTTAGGGGTTGTGTGCCCCTGAGTTCAATCCCTCATACCCTCGTGCCCCCACCCCTGCAAAAAAAAGAAATTTTACTTTAGTTCAGACCACAACAGGTCAATCTGGTTTCCTCTTGTGGAAAGTACAAAGTATAGTGGCTGAGTTTGCAGCTGAGAAGCCAGAGGAAGGCTTGCTTACCTATGATATAAGAGCAGAGGACATTTGGCCACATTTGTAATTTTAGTGTTTCAAACACTAGCTGGATTGAAATAATCACCTGGGCTGCTTGTTAAATATATATTTCTGGACCAAAACAAACCTGCTGAGTTAGAATTCCCAAAGCAGAGGCCTGATAATCTGTATTTCCCCTACTGCAGCCTCATGATCAGGCCAACTGGGCAAACTTGATAGTAATGCTGTCTCACTTGGCAGAGATGCCAGTCAAAATTGAAGTCTTCAGTTACCATCTCGTTTTTATTGAGTTGCTAGTGTGTAGTCAGTGTGTAGTCGGTGTAGTGGGCACTAGAGATGCACAGATAACACATGAATCCTAACCATCTAGTTTATAGTGCTCTGTTAAAACAGTTGCTATAGCCTGTAAGAACTGTTGCCTTTGATTGCAGGGTAATATATATTGATACATCACCCTAAAGCCTGGAACCCAAAAAGAATCTATCTCCAGACAAAATAAGAACACATGAGATTGTTTTGTCATATATTTGTATTCTTCATAAAACTGTGTTTTTTAATATCTTGTTTTGGTGAGGATCATGTGGTATATTCATGATACAGCTACTTTATTAGCAGCTCTCCCTGAACTTCTGCTTTTTATTCTTTCATTTTATTTTTTACTGTTCTTCCATTTCCTTTTATAATATACTTAAACGAGATTTGCTTCCCAAATTATTTTGTGGTCTTTTACAGCCTCATAAAATAACTATGAGATTGGGGCTAAGGGAAATCATTTTATTGAATATATTCTTAATTAATTATGATTTGATACAGTCTAGTATCATTGCTTAGGCTAATTATAATATATAATTATTGGTATAGCCAATGCTTAATGCTATAATTTGAAACACTATTTTAACTTCCTGATTATTCTAATTTCCCATTTTTAGATTTTTTTTCTTTAATTTGTAGCTAAATTATTCTTTTTTTTTCCTCCTGTGGAGAAACTGATTTGAGAGCATCAGTTAAGTAAAAAAAGAAATTATCCCACAGTAAAGTCTTTGAAGATAAGATGATAAAAACAACAGACTATAACTAATAAGGGGTCACAATTATTTACTATCATCAAATAATGTCACTCATGGTTTTCCCACTGTTTAATGAGGTGTGATAATTTGCAGGTAGTCTAATAATGAAAGGTTTTACTTTTTAGTTTGAACATGTTAAAAGGTCTGAGGATTGTTAGGTTTTCCTTTGGAGTTTAGCCTCTCTTTGTACCAACTAGTGTGTAATCTACTAGCTTTCATTCTGGGAAAATAAAAGATGATGAAAGTACAGAAATATAGTGGGTGGGAATTCAAGTATTTAATGTTATCATCTTTTGTAAATAATGAACTCAGGTTATGAAACACATTTATTATTAGTGGGTTATGAATGACTGGAGGAAATAGTAAGAAACTACCTTTACATGTAACTTGTTTTTTAGTTCTGTACTTTTTATCAGACTTTGATTCTAGGAAACATGTCAGTATGAATCTTGTATGTTGCACGTAATGACCATAGTTGTCCAGCCATTATCCTTGGAAAATTAAAGTTGGTTTAGTAGATTGAGAATTATGGTAGATCCTTAAATTAGTTATGATACATTAAATTCATTTACTGTCTGGAGCAAAGGGATGAACAGTTTTAAAATGAATATTAAATCTTTTCATCTTTTACCTTTGCTGTGTTACAGAAACCCTTGAAACTCTCATCAGACAAGCAGAAAATTATACCAGTATACTTTTTTGCAACACCTACAGGAACATGGCCTTAGAGGCTTCTGCTGCAGTTCAGGAGTTCTTCACTGATGTAGGGCTCTACTTATTTGGTGTGGATGTTAATCCTGAAGAATTTGTAAATAGGTTTTTCGACAGTCTTTTTCCTCTGGTCTACAACCATCTCATTAATCCCAGTGTGACTGACAGCTCCTTGGAATACTCGGAATGCATCCGCATGGCCCGCCGGGATGTTAGTCCATTTGGTAATATTCCCAAAAGAGTAATGGGGCAGATGGGAAGATCTCTGCTGCCCAGCCGCACATTTCTGCAGGCCCTCAATCTGGGCATTGAAGTCATCAACACCACTGACCATCTTCATTTCTCCAAAGAGTGCAGCAGAGCCCTCCTAAGGATGCAGTACTGCCCTCATTGCCAGGGCCTGACTCTCAGTAAGCCCTGTATGGGGTACTGCCTCAATGTTGCCAGGGGCTGTCTTGCCCACATGGTAGAGCTTAATCCACATTGGCATGCATATATCCAGTCCTTGGAAGAGCTTTCAAATGCAATGCATGGAACCTATGATGTTGAACACGTGCTCCTGAACTTCCATTTGCTTGTAAATGATGCTGTGATTCAGGCTTACCTCAATGGACAAAAACTAGCAGAACAGGTAAGTAGTCAAGCCATGCCTCCTGTCTCATTTCTCAAACATTAACCAGAACATCATAAATTTAGTTGATTATTAGCATATCATTATGCAGTTTAAAACAATGGCAGTTTAATAAGTATATATTTTAGGAAATAGTAGGAGGATGCATGGTGTTGACATATTTGATTCAGTATATTATATTTTATATAACATCTCAAAATGTTGATTGGTAAAAGTACCACTTTTTTCCTAAGCATTAACAGCCTTATCAAAAGTTTAGTTTATTGAAGTGGCAAAAACTCAGGTTCTGAATTAAGAACAGCATAGATTTGAATCTGCAATCAGCAATAATTACCTTCATGAAATTAGGCAAATCTCTTATGCTTTTTGACCCTCAATCCTTATTTATAAATATGAAATAGTAATACATATTTTCTGAAATATTCCTCTTTGGAGATAAGTGTTTTCTTGGTATAGTATCTAATACTGAACAAATGGGTAGTTATTGTTAGAATTTCAGAGGTAGTCATCTATATTGTAGAAAACATCAGTTGTGTATCCATGAAAGTAAGACTTGATATCCATGTGTTCAAAGTGTTTCTTTAGAGCCTCTTCAGGATCTGTCAAAGTGATAGTGTGATGATTTTTTAAAATGTGGCAAATGTGGCATATATACTGTCATGCTGTTTTATTTCTAGTAGACTTGAGAATTTTTTGAAACAGAATCATCAGATCAAGGGATGTAAGAGTTTTCTCTTTCTCCCACATCCATAGAATCATATTCTTAAATATTCATAGTCTTCCTTAGTAATGGTTCTCACGTCCCATACAATAAAGAGGACATGTTGCTAGTGGTTCTCCTAAATCTTTTCCCCTAAAATGATATTATACTTCCTAGTACCAAGAAAAAAGTGTTTCCCTACCCTGGTACTGATTTACTGAATTAATAAACATTCTCATCATGAGCTCTATTTCTCTGTTCTTTTAATTTCTGATAGAAATTGGACTTGAAAAGCTTTGTGTTTAACTGCTTCCTTCCCTTGTTTTCCTAACTCTCAGGTCTGTAGGGCCTGCATGAGCCTACGTAAAACCTTTCTGCACATTAGAGCTGGCACCATCTAGGTGGATGCAGCAGGTGATGTGGTAGAGTGAGGTGGATTTCATATGCTCCCTACTCCATGAAGCTGGGTTACCCTATCCAATGAACAGGATTCCTAACTTCTTGTAATAGTCAGGTTGCTTTATCCTTTCTCATCACTTATGAAAATCAAACATTAGCCAGAACCTCTAGAAGGGATTTAAAATGGAGGTACAAATGAATCCTGAGATTTCAAGTATTTCCTAGTTAGGGGAAATAAGCATTTAAATGCAGGGAATAAAATGTCCATAATGGGATATCAAGTATCTTCACAAGGCAAAATAAGCATAAGAAATCTAAGTCCAGATCTGGATCATTAATTTGGGGTATGGCATTTAAAATTTTATGTCAGAGCATATTTATATATTTTATGTAAGATATATATCCTCTTTGTTATTTTGACCTTAGAAAGACTTTTTGAATTCTTAAAATCCGTAACATTAAAAATGATATCTTTTTCCTATTATAGAGGCTAAGTCACAAAAGACTGTAGTAGATAGGCATGTTTTCACATACTTTGTTTTCTTCCTATTTGTGATCTGGGTAAGCTACTAAAACTGTTGGAGCCTGTTTTGTCTTGTGAGAAAGGCTGGGAGGAAGTAGTGGTTTAAGTGGGGCCAGCCCTGCACAGATCATGATGAAGCAGTTTATTTTAGTATCTCAAAATATTAGAATCAAGTATGGGCTTTATAAATAAGTTTTGCACAGAATTTTTATCACTTGAAACTTTTTGGTGGATTTTCAAAGAGCACTCTTTTTTTTTTTTTTAAAGCAAATAGTCTGATTTCGTATAATAAATAGTCTGATGATTATCTTGAAAAACATCAATCATTACTAATAAATTGTAGATTCTTTTCTAAGTAAAACAACTGAGATCTTTTTTACTTATGTGGAAAGAAGAAGAAACTAACTATAAGTTCCTTGAAAATTGACTCATTAATATTTATTTCTGCCAACTTCAAAGTGATTTATAAGCTGTTTATCAAGCTTTGATAACCAGTTCACACATCAATGAATCTAACAAATTCAAAGTAAATTACGGAAGAGCCAGCAAATAATGACTTTCTCACATTCCCAAAGCAATCTGTGAGATCAACTACTTCCAAGTCTAGTTCTCAGTAAATACATATTTCCACTTTAAGAAATCCATAGAGGTAACCTGATATATCATATGTATGTTGGATGAATTTCAACTGGAAAAAAAATGTTCTCAGTTTCTTGAGAAAGTTGCATCTTATATTTGGAAAAATCTTCTAAGAAACAAAAGCCAATTTATGAGAGACTGTGTGTTAATTTTATAGTTATAATTTCATAGTCAGAAACTATTTAACTTTGTGTTCCCATGCCCCAAGTACCTGTAAAAAAAAAAAAAAAAAAAAAAAAAAAAACTTTAGGGAAGGGAAAATTGATTTTGGTTCATTGTTTCAGATCGTGGTGGTCCGATTCCATTGCTCTGGACCCAAGTTGAGGCACAATATCATGATAAAGGGTGTGGTTTAAGAGTGCTGCTCCATTTGTGGTGAACAAGAAGCAGAGAGAGACAAAGAGAGGGAAGGGGAAAGGGGCCTCAGGGAAGAGACACCCTTCTAGGTCAGGTCACCAGTGATCCAGTTCTTCCAGCCATGCCTCACCTGCCTACTGTTACCCCCAATCTATTCAAAGTAGGATAGACTGATTAGTTACAGCTCTCACAGTCCAGTCATTAAACCTCCAAATATTCCTGCATTAGCACAGAGGCTTTTGGGGGACACCTTATATATAAATCTATAACAAAAACAATGTCAGAAAGAAGTAGGGATTAAAAGTACAGGTTATAAGTGTCAGCATGGATTTCACATCTCTCTGTACCACTTAGTAGCTGTGAGTTTGGCTATCTCAGTATTTAGTCTCTTAGCTTTGATTTCCTCTTTGGTTAAGAACACTTACATTATAGATTTCTTGTGAAAATAAAATGAGCTTTCATGTTCAGATCAGTTTCTCATGCATAATGTTTAAATCCTATAATTATTATTATACTCTTTATAAATGCTTTATTGATTTTTTGGTATTTTAAATGCTCTAAAATAAATATTCCTTTTTTAGGAGTACAGAGCTTGAAAGAAATATCAATGATATAGAGCTCAAAACATATCTGTATTTTTGAATGATCTGTTTAAGTGATTATAAGCAAATGATTGTAAAGATTTTTCTTGAATGAGAAAATACTGGAGTATTTAAAAAATATTATTTTTTAACACACAGATCATTCTCTTGCTAATCATTTATTAATTTTATAAATATTTTTGAAATTCTACTTTTTATTAATTACATTTAGTATGATATTTGTTATAATTTAGTAACTTATTAAAGGCACAGGAACACAGAATTGGTATTAATTTCAGTGTTTCAACATATTCTAAATGAAACAGATATTATGAGGAAACTACTAAATACTAAGTCTATATAATTTCAGAAAATCTATAGTGGGATAAGAAACATAATTTCCAAAAAGAAATATCTAACTCTATTTTTTGTTTAATTTATTTTTAATGTCTTTTACCTATGCAGTATTAGTAGACATTCAACTGGTTGCATCCAGATTACCTTAGAATCAGTTTCAGTATATGATTCACTTTAAAATAATCAATCTTGTCAAAATTGAGTGTAAGATAGATTGTGCACACTAATGAACTTTAATTAGCTGTTAAAAATTGAATATCTTATCATTTCCTCTATGTGTACAAACATTTATCTAATCTCTAAAAAGTATAGTAAATATTCTTGTGTTTTTATATAAAAATTAAATAAAAAAATATACTTTAGATTAATTAGGGCACAGCATATATTTTATTTTCTGATTTCTACAATGTTGTATACACTTTCCTAAAATATCCCTGTGTGAGGGATTTTTTTCAAAAATTTTGCTTATGGGACAAATAAGATTGGGGGAAAATAGTTGAAATCTCAGTTTCCAAAATAACCCAATTAAATGTAATACCATTGCAGTTTTAGATAGTTTAAGTTGGTTATCTTAAACATCATATTCTGTAATAAATGTCTCACTTGAACTTAACAATTATGGGTTTCCTTAATGACAATCAAAGTAGTGCAGTGTGGGGCTTTTGAGTAAAGAAGATGTAGCAGAGCCTATCTGTGTTTGCAGGCTGAGACATTTTCTCAATCATAAAGCTGGTAATCCATTCCCCCTAGTGAAATGATGCTCACTTATACACAAACATATGCAAAATATCACATATAATTGTAAGAAATTTACAGCTTATTCTGTGAGGCCACAGGCAGAGGTATAAGGACCCCTGGGTTAAAGAAAGGACAACTTTATTCTTAGTACGAAATAAACCAATAGTAGAGTTAGTTCTTTCCATCTTAGACTAGCATTTAATTTCAAAATTGAGTGTAAGGTGGATTGTGCACACTAATTAATGGCTGCAATTATTTTGAAATTTACATTGGATATATAGTATGTAGTGTGTTCTTTTGGCCATGCTATATATTGGAATACACACACATACACACACACACACACACAAACACATACAAATGCATATGCACATACATGAAGAGGCAGGATCAAAATGAACGATAAAAGTAGAATCTCTAGGATACTCCAGGATCTATGCTAAATAAAAAGCTGAGAAGATATTATTTATGAAACAAATTTTTAAGAGCTCTCATTTATGTATTTATTGAAGTATTTATTGAACTGCTATAAAGTAGAAGATGGTGATTCAAGGTTTTATGTCAGCTACCTCATGGATAATGTTTGTGGGTGGTTGGGCAGAACTCCATTGATATTTTCACATTATGTTGAAGATGTAATTTTTACCTTTGCTTATTTTTAAAAAAATTATGTGGTTGGTTGAAGTTCAATTTTTAATAACTACAG